GAGGAGAGGAAAGGACGGTCATAGTCACAGGACTGTTTTTGTATGACACATCCATAAGCCTTCTTATCAGCAGGACAGGCAGGAGAGAGCACCTTTGTATGCTGCATGAGTGCTGGGCAGGAGCACAGGGGGTGGACTGTGTGAGGCGGGCCATTGTTATACGATACCAGAAGGTGGGTATCAGAGCCATGGGTCACAAGACACACACATAAGCAAGAGGGAGGGCTGGACTTAGACAAGCCCACATATACACCGCACTATGAACATTCAGTTTCCTTTTCACAGAACACGTCATAAAAAAAAACCGAAAAGTGGGAAGGGCAGAGATAAGGAGGAAAATGCTAAAGCAATTCAGGTTACTGCGGGACAGCTTGGCAGACATGAATAAGGAGAGGATAGAGGGAATGTTTGATAGGAACACAAATAACCTCAACTGCCATTGAGGGAACACTGTAAGTCTAGGTCAACTTTTCCAAAGTCCATCTGTTGAGCAACAGGCGGCTATAATATAAAGTAAAAACCACGTGGGGGGACATTGCTTTTCAGCTACGTGCTTAAACCCACGTAGGTCCTGCTCCGTCAGCATGACGCCTCAACATGCCGCCTTTAACTGTTCCCCTACCAACTTTCAGGAGTATCTGAGTTTATCGAAACTGTTACAAACTGACTCACCTAAACAAGATCTAGCCGTTCTTATTGAAAGGACGTACCGGCCTTTTTGACCTATCATTTTATTTAATAATATTTCAGGGGTGAGAGTGAGTTTAAAGTGCATTTTAGATCAGCATTCAACAAGAGACCTAAAGACCTTGTTGGGTACTAGACTTCTTCACACACAGACCCGAAACAGTTGGGATTAGTCGATGAAGAAAGGAAAAGGAGAGGTCCTCAGCATATTTGCAAGCTTACAAAATGTTTATTGATGCAACATTTGTAGTTGATTGCACCACCATCATCGGCCAGGTTGCAAAAAGGATGACTGTGACTGAAAACAGTCATGAACCTTGCAGAGTCTCTAATAGTTTGAATGACGAGACAACCTTTGCTTGACCTTTAAGATATATATTCATGGTCTTTTTTTTTTGGAGAAAATCTATATTTAATGTCCATCAAAAGTACTAAATAAAGCTTATTGGTTCTTAAAGAGACTTCTTAATTTTGTACATATTGCCCATGAAGCTCACCTCCTCCATTCTTGTAGCAAAGGTAAGGGAACCGCCACACGTTGCCCAAGCCGACTGCAAACCCCACACAGGACATGATGAAGTCCATCTGTCTGGTCCAGGTTTCTCTCTCCACTACTGGAACTGCTACAGCTACCGCCGCAGCCCCGTCCTGGGTCTGCGGCGGGCCAACCCCTCCGCCTGCACCACACCCTGGCCCTGCTCCAGGCACAGGTACCAGCGGGCGAGCAGACCCGCTGTCCTCCTCCGACAAGGTGCCGGCCTCTAACTGGGGGAGACTGATTTCACCTGGACAGGAGAGATGAACAAGAGACACATGAGAAAGAAGAAGACACGGTCCAAAGACAGACTAAGATAAAGAGAGGAGTCAAGACAACGGGAACATGTGTATTTTAACATGACAAATAACTTGTTTTACAATTTGACACAACATTTCAGCACTCCAGAAACTGTCCCTTGGACCAGACTTGACATGAATAGAAGAAGGAGACTGCTCGTTTCCATTCATCGCAATACAGCATCAGCCAACCTTTCTGATTATTAAAACCTTGGCTTACTCGTAACAGGGCTTAAATATAGGGTGTCATACACACTCACTAGATTTGTGTGTTTAAACAAGCTAAAGTTGTGTAGCAGTTGTATTGTCATCCCTAAGCCCTCCCCCGTTATTCTTTCTTTCTGCCTGTTTCACAGACAGACTGATGATTAGTGTGCTGCGGTACAACACAGCACAGAGCCGCATCAAGGTATGTCTCAAGCGTCTCTTCCTCGGGAAGCTCACGTTTCCTTTATTCCGCATATACACATAATCAAATAATCAAAAACAAACACACTGTGACAAAAATAAGAGCAGCGTGTCACTTCATTAGTGCCATTCCATGTCAGTCAGTAGTTGTGGTCTGTGCTGAATGCAAACCAAAGGCAGCTGAATCCAGATCAGAGCAGTTTTAGGAGGTGTGTGAACAGTGGAGGGGAAACGAGAGAGGAAGGTGAGCGATGTGTGTGTCTACGGGGCAACTTAACAAGAGGACACCTGTCTGATACATTTGTGTGAGGAGTAGGTGCATACTGTATGTGATGATTTATGATCGATCTAAACAGATTACATGTTAGGTAAAGACAATAGAAATGTGTTTGCTTGAGCATAATGGGGTCCATGCCTTAAAAACGAACCCTAAATAATCACGACACCCCTGGCAACAGACTAATATGTTCATGAGTCACCAAATTTTACAAGCCTACTTGACAACACTGGGTATCTTCTGCAGTCAGGTAGACTGTAGACACCTGTTTAGCTGCATATTTAGCTTGAAATTTGCTTCTGTTAAACTGATGTATCAGAAGTCTAAGATGCACTGACGTGTTTGTAATATTGTGATGAGAAATATGTAGACGTCAGGCAAGTCAAGTGAAGCTGGTGTGGGGTTTCTCTGTAATCCATCAGCGTGCGCAGATGTTTTAAGCTAGTGTCAGACCCAAGTGGTCAATAACGAGTCATAATGTTACTGGAGGTCATTCAAGCATACTCACCTTGGCTGGTCTCTTCCAACTCAGGTGACATATTGTAGGATAGCGGCACAAAAAAATATATATTCTATTTTTTCTAAAAAGCAATGCGGCTGGCTGTTGGTTTAACCAGGTGCTGCTTTTTTTTTTTTTTTTTTTTTGTGCCTGGCTATGAAGGCACCCGGCGGGCTCAGAGAGGCAGAGATGTCGCCAACAATACGCAGTGCTCCGGTTGGACTCTTTTGTTTTTCTGAGTTTGTTATTTCGCCCTCTTGAAATAAATGAAATCTCAGTTGTTGTTTTTTTTAGGATTATCGCACGTTGGATCCCCTCAGCTCAGCCGAGAGATGGAAAAATGTTAACGAGGCGCCGCAGTCCCTTCAGCCGTTGACAAAGGAGATTCAAAAGCAGTCGACGAAGCACTTGAAGGTAAGCCTGAAGAATCTCATGGATAACAGTTAAATGAAAATAATACTGCGCTTTAAGGTAAAGATGTTTCGTTTATAAACAAAAATAAAAAAGCCCAATCAGAGTCAGAATCAGTGTATGAACCTGTACGTGGATGCCGCGGTTCGACAGAGGAATAATGCGATCTGCTCCACGGTCAGTTAGATTGGACTGACGTTGACCCCGCCCCACTCCTGCTGCCGGCTGACGTGATTGGCTGAGGCCAGCCCACAGTGCGGTGCGCACAGCATCAGCAGCAGTCAACATGAGAGGAGTCACAAGGATGGGTTTTAAAACACTGCACGAACACGTCCTTGACCTGATATCAGGAAAATAACTGCAGACAAATACCCCCAAAATCCTGTCTGATTGCGGATTGTTCTCGTCATTTTATCTTCTTCAGATGTCGGGGACGGACTCGAGGGTTCCCAATTTAGGGTACATTGAGAGGCTTCAAGTGCCCCCCAAATATATTTATCGTTATTTTACAAACTAAACATTTAACTTATATTGTTGATTATATTATTAAATAGGTACATGTCTTAGTTAGTTTCGGGGATGACTTTCATCTCCCTATTGCACCCTCTTCTTTAAAAAATAAAAAATATATATACAGTATGGGCTCCGTCTGTAGTTGTAGTACCTATCTTCACCACCACTCTTTCCACTAACGAAGGGTGCCTTACTCTGACCCTAGTGATGTAGATGTTAGTGAACGCAAATTTCCATGGGCATTTTTGTGGATTAAATCAATACTGAATATTTAAGTCTGGTTTTGAATTTGTATGTATTCTTTACATGTTAGTATAATGAATGTGTGTATTTGCATTGTTTGAGCACACATGCTGATAGTGGTCCCAAAAGAACTGGGGCTGAGAGGTTGTTATAGAAGCAGTCCATTAAAGGCTACCAGGATGAAAACCTAGCTCATATTTAACTTACATAAATTGTTTTATGTGTCGTTGGGCGACATCTAGTGGATTTTTTCTATACTAACAGCTTTGTGTGAATGACGACACTCTAAGCACTTATAATAAAACAACATATGTTTATATTTCATGACATAGAACAAATACAATAAAATACATCGACAGATCCAGTGCAACAACAAGCTGTAATAAATATGAATTCTTGTAACTTGAATAAATAAATAGAGGTGATAAATAACACTCAAATAAATATGCTTGGAGAATTAAATATTCATTAAATATTCTTGAGTTGTGAGGATAAGAAACACAAACACTGAATAACACCTGAAGTCTGGCCTCAAACAGCCAGCATGAATCATTATGTCCAGTCAAGGACAGTGCTGCACAAGCAGCACACCCCCTTATTAAATATCATTTCATGATAAACTCTAGAAACAAAACAGACTTAAATAATCACATTCATCAATGAATTCTTGATATGTCTTGTGACAAAAACCTTTTATCTAAATGGAAGGCAAGTATGCCCTTTCCAACATAGATCATGATACCTGTAGTAGTTATGAAAAATGAATGGTAATTTCTTTGAGGCCAGGAATACACCGTACGATTGTGAAAATATTGTGGTGGAAGAGTTCATCGTTTACCATGCACGACCAAATCTCACCATTAGAGTGCTTCAACTGTACATGTTGAATAGGAACAGAGGAGAGGCAACTGTCAATAAAGTTTATTTTGAAAATCCCCACGGATGGGAGTGGAAGTCAGATCTGTGTTTTCCATTTGTCTCATATGCACAGCTCAGTTGTGCAACTAAAGAATCGGGTCTGAATCTCCCTGAAATTGCGCAGTGTATCCCCGGCGTAAAACGGATTAAATAGAGAATTGCAGGACGGATTTCATGAAGGGAGAAAATATCTGGAATGCTTTTTGTGTAGTTTTGAATTCAACAACAGTTATCAGACACGGGGAGGTGGTGTGTCAGATCCATCTACGTCATGAAGGAAAGAGTGACATGGTTTTTAAGTGGTGGTCACCTGGTCTTGGTATTAAGTAGGCCAGGCTATAGATCCTGGTGGAGGTTGCTGTGTGAGAGCGGTTGGTAATGCTCCTCCATGCCCGGCTTAGCTTGTTTCCTCTGTGCAACTAGTCTCTGGTAACGGGCCTGCCGCTGGCTGTCTGGGTCCACATTCACCCAGTTATTTGCCACCCACTTCACTCCATGTCTGATGGGGCAGTCGCCATGGAGGGAATATTCATCCAGCTCTCCCATCCAACCTGGAGAAATTGTAAGGAGAAGATGAAGCGCATTTCAGAGAAGATAAATGAGTGTAGAAAATACAAAAAACAACAACAGGGGGCTTAATTATTATTTATTATCAGACCAAAGTTCAGATGTTTAAGGACTGAATGCTTCTGTCTTTATTGTAAGGAATACAGAATCTCGTCATTGTTCTTTGTAGTGAGATTTCAACACTTTTGCGAGGCCCACAGGGATGCAAGTCACCATCATCTTTTTTTAAAGTTTCTATTATGCCTCTATTGGACAGGAAAGCCAAAGAGAGACGAGGAAACGTTGAGAGGAGATAGTGGCCTCTGTTTATGGGGTGTGTGACACAACCACCCGGTGCCCCAGAGTCACCATAATCTGAATATGTTAAGATACAACAGTTGTCTGTTGTCGCTTTTTATTAGATATTTTAATTAGCTGAATTTTTAAATGGGTTGCCTCATGACAATGGAGTCACTCTGTCAGTCAGTGTAAATTAAAAGTGTTTATTATGTATTGATTTATTTATTAACTCTAACAGAGATCTTAGTTCCTATATTTTATCATGGTTGTCCTCTATTAAGATGGAGGAACGAACTCAACCTGGCTCTAAGGATGAAGACTTCAAGCAAGTGACATGAGACTGGATATGTGAGTTTAAAGAATGTAGTGAAGTCCTCTGTTCTTACCTCTACCATCAGAGAGATGGTTGTACCAGAGGAGGGCGGTCCCAGCAGTAGGTTTTATTCTCAGGTTCCCTCTGCCACATGTCTCCTGGGTGTCTATCAAATCAACGCCTTCCTGGACCAGTGCCTAGGACATGCAAAACTGTAAACAGCTCATGTCTAATCATTTCTTTTGGCACAATGTGTTTACTGAGGTGTCAGATTCCTTGTCATGAATGAACACTGTCTGCATGTTATCAACAGCACTCAGGTCATAAACAGTTATCATCATTTGCCAGTTCAAGGAAAAAGAGGCAGCCTGTTTCAGGGTTGCGTCTTGTGAAAACAGCGCACTTACCTGCTCATCATATGTACGGTTATCAGCCACAGGAAACGTGGTCTCACCACCCTCCTCTACAGAGCTGAGGTAGAATAACATTGTAAGGTACCTGAGATATAAAAAAAGAAAATCTGAGTAAATCTACTGACATATAAAATAAGAAAACTACATACTGATATATTATTTTGTAACACAACTTATTATAGCAGTAAAATGAAAATATCATTTGGAGACACGATGTCTTTGTGCTGTGTATTTCTTATCCTACCAAAACTTGCAAAGCAAGGAAACAGAATCCTAAAAGGAAATAAAAATCCCACAAACCTGCAGGAGACCTCTGTGAGAGCCGACGTGTTTCCAGCCAGTCGTGTGTGTGCACAGGTAGTCTCTGAATGAGAAGGGCTGCTGTCATGGTGGGCATTACTGAAGTCTCCGTGCTCATAGCGGATCACCTGCAGCGGCTCGCTCAGCTCAACCAAAGTAGAGGGCAGACGTGTCAGACTGGTTACTCTGAGCGAAAAACACAAGGATGAAAGACAAGTGTATTAAAAATCACAAGTGTATAGGCTACTACATAAAGCATGGCAAATAATGTGTGTGGGCTTGTCAAGTCACCTGTTCCTGAGTGTGTGAAGCACGTGGTGGGACCCTTGGCCTTGGTAAAGCCACGTATGTTTGCTCCTCTGTTTGAATCGACTGCGCAGCTTCCCTCTTCGCTGTCGTCCTGGGTGTTGGGAGATGTCGTAAACACGCCTGAAGTCCTCCAAGGTTAGCATCCCTGCCACAAAAAAACAAACATAAAATATAAGCTTTGTCCTCTTGTATGTCGCTCAAAGCTGGAGTATCATACAAATACAGCAAAGATTATAATATGTGAATGGTTCCCTGGGAAAATGTTGAAACAGTGCTATACAGTGTTATTTATTATCACGACTCCAGTTCTGTTTACTTTAATATTAAGCTCTTAGTTGATGTAGTGAGGAGTACGCTTTAACAGCCTTCTTTCTCTTTATTCCTCCAGTCTTTCCCTCTTTGTGTCCAACCGTATGCTGTTACTGTCAGCTGAATAAATGCCCCCCCCATCAGTTCCCCTGAGAGGCCGCACCCCAGCTGTAACAATAGCTTTGGGATGGCAGAGACAAGGTGGCCGGTGAGGGGGTGGTGGGTTTGCGAAAGAGTGTGGAGGAGATAGTTGGGGGGTGGGAGGGGCGATCTGGGGGAAAACTAGGAAAAGGGGTTGGAGAATAATCAGTTTTTAATGAGATAGAATGAGGCACATCCGGACTTGGATGTTTACAACGCCTAGCACAATGGCATCAGGTCAAAACGGTGTCACTCCTCTTCCGGCCTTGGCAGTAACAAAGACTCGCATGCAATCACAGCCACCTGTCAGCCAATTACCCTGACAAGTACACAAGCAATGCAGATCCACACACACATCCAAATGCACACCAGATGGAATCAAATCGAGCAGATTTGTTATTTATGCTGATGAACAGACAAGCTCATCTTACACTGACTTAAATGTAATAAATAGTAGCACCAGTCTGATGGCCCATCGCCACAAAAAGTGCATTTTTGAACAACAAAAATTACGTGTAGGTGGCCCCATGTGGCAACAAAGTTACAGTAAATCCACACATTGTACCCATTCATCGATTCACCATTACCGTTCCAAGAAAACATCCAGTTTAAGTTGTGACAGTTACCTGGTCCAAACATTTTGATCCTCTAACTACACTGAATTACCTCATGATGGAAACTGGGTGGAAGGTGTGTCAGCATTAGAGCGTCAGTTTGCTCCAATGTGATCCTATTGCCAAGGGCATTGGAGGTTTAAATCAAATTTATCAATTTAAAAATCTTGACAAAAAACATACGCACTCTAAAAATTATGAATTTGAAAATCTGAATTTGAAATCTTGGTCATGTTTTTTTTTTTTTTGGCAAGCATAACATGCTATGTCATTATGCTTGAGGGAGGGAGTGATAGACAGCATGGGGGGGGGACCGAGAGACTGACAATTTAAAAAAATCTATTTTCATTTCATTCATTTATTTAAGCTGTAAAAGTTAAGAAAAGTTGCACTTCTAGCCATTTCTACTTTTTTTTTTTTTTTTTTTTTTTACAAAGTTTACATCTCTGTCTCCAAATATGTAAAAGATGGTATTTGTCCACTGAAATCTAGGGGTTTGGGGGCCAGTGCTTGAAAAAGTATAAATATAAAGTGTCTACCCCATTTATAGATGTTATATGAAACACGTACCAAAAAAAAAAATCAAGGTTAGAAATTTGTCCTAGTGTCAAACATGTGTTTTCTGTACCCAGAAAAACTTGACTCCACTCATGCTTTGTTCTACATGGGAAAAAGGTTAAAAACAGCGACAAATGAAGACACACTAAAACAACTAGGAGACTAACCTGTTGGGCAGGCTTCAAGACCAGTGAGTATCTGCCGTAAGTTGTCTGGGTTCAACCAAGTTCCATCACGAGAGCGTGAGTGACTCTCAATCTGCAGCAGAGACCAGATCTTTTGTGTTATTTTGTCAAAAACGATAATCTTCTTCTTACAGTCAATCTAAAATACATTATTTTCTGAGAGGATTGTTCATAAAATTGATTCCCCCGTTCAACTCTGAGGTGTTCAAAGGTGTTCATAGGTGTTCAAAGAATTTCTCTCTTGTCACCTCCTGCTTTTGCAGCAGCCTGTCCTGGTTTAGGTCCAACAGGCTGAAGACCTCTTCTGTGCTTAGAGAAAGGAGTGGCTGGTTCGACTCCTCTTGTCCCTGGCTGGTTGTGGTCGTCTGGCTCTCCATCAGACCCTTGAGCTGAGCCAGCTGAACCACCACACGGCACTCCTCCTCCGACAGGAAGCCAGGGATCTCTGACAGAAACAAGGAAGAGATAACCACGCTGATTGCCTTGAATGGTTACATACTACATAATACTACTTACAACTTTTTAATACACTGTTTAGAAAAAGGCCACATTATCACAGTACTAGCAAGCCCTTAGTCTACCAAAGTCTAGAAAGAGGATCAAGGATGAATCATCTGTCAGAGAGAGTTTCAGGGATATAATGCAACGCTGAGCCATGCTAAGTGTGGCTAACAATTTTAGTTTGTTCCCAGATTAACAGCAACGATAATGATTCACACATTCATATGCACATTACAAAGATTGATTAGGTAACAGTGAAGCCGACAATCGATAAAAGCATATCCACTGAAACTTTCAATCTTCAAATGGTGGATTCACACCACCAACATTGTTACATGGGATTTTATATTCCTACTGTAAAATCTGCAAACAGGCAGCTTTAACAAAACCAGAGATGGGCAGAGAGTCGCTGACTTTTAAGTAGATAAAAGGATCTCTGTTGACAGTGCTGACTTGATCTGTCGGGTTAAGCAGATTACATCAGATTGCCAAACAAAGCCTTTAAGTGTGAAAGTGCATATTCAAGATCGTTTGATCAGTGAATGCTCATGATAAGAATGAGTCAAACATTGTATCAGTAAAACAGCCTCATAAAGAGCACATCTTTGTTTACATGTGCTCAGAACATAATGATCATGCAGATACTTCTAAGAACCCAGACAATGGGAAGAAATAACTTAATGTCTTTGAATCCCATCACAATTAACTGCGGGCGTTGTTAACCTTTTAAAACAATTGCATAACTTGATTTGATGCTAATTAATTATGCTTTCAATCTTGCAGGTTTGAAGAATAGGAACTCTTTACTGTGTATGTAGAGTGTGGGATTTCTTTCTGTCCCTCCCCTGTGAGTGGTTTGTGGTATAACCCATCCCAAGGGCAGCTTTAATGAATGACAACACTGGATTTCTCCCAAGGGAGAGTGGAAATAGTGCAGGCTTCTGGGAGTCTATTATTAATTTATAGAAAGTAGTCTAAGAAAAAAGCTTATACTCATTCTGCTTAACAACTACTTCTACTCCATCTAGTTACACCAGTAAACAGTCTATTTAATTAATTCTAATGGATACTTGTTTTTTTAACTTAATCTGACCTAGGTTTTTTGTCGTTCCCGCAGTCCTCCATGTCTGACGCTCATTTCCTCTCTTAATAAAAGGCTTCCGGCAGGTTGGCTGCCTGTACAGTAAGGACCTTGTTTGTCACCCGTGTCTTTGACACTGTACCCACTTGGTTAATTCCTATTGTCCAGTCAAGCCTCATTAATGTGGATAACTGATATGAATAAAGGGGGACTCTGAGCCTCCCTCTTCTCCCTCCCAACACTGTCTATCCCCCGGAAAGGAAGTGACCTCCTTGTCTGAACAGGAATCAGGCCATGGTGACACAGCAGGACGACGCCAATTTTGGTAGCGACCTAAGCACCAGTTCATACACACACGAAACCCACAAGCAGCACCCATTTGAGTTGCAACTATTGATGATTTTTTTTTCTGTCTTGATACATGCCCTGATTATTTTCTTAACTATTTGATTTATTGTGTGGTCTTTAAAACATTAGAATATGGGAGAAAATCCCATTATAATGGCCCAAAGCCCTAAGTGATGACATCACATATCTTGTTTTGTAGGATCAACACCCCCCCCCCCCCACACACACACACACACACACACACACACACACATACACAAAATGAGAAGGAATAAGTGAAATTCAGTATCATTCCTTCAAAAAATGTCTTGAACAATGTACTAAATTCTCACGATACTGTCTGTTTTCTCATTTGAGGCATTATAGCTCTTCAATGACCCTACACTGTGGCCATCTTATTTTCCTTTGTATAGTAGGAGAACTCACAAAAACATCCAACATGTTCCTCTTACCAGCATTTGTGGACGAGAAGTTTAAATAACAAAGAGGTCAGGGCAGGACAGCTTTGTTAGTAGTGGGTTGTAAGAAAATGAGGATTGGAAAGGGCGGGGGAGTTTCACTCCATGAGGGCCAATCTGTTCCTCAATACAAGCTGTGGGGATGGAAATGGATGAAAGCCAAAAGTATCCAAATGACCAATCATCCACCTTATTAATCTTGAGCTCTGTCAAACTCACTTAAATTTGCTCATGAACGCAAGTGGATTTGCATCTGTAATAACACTTTATTTTGTGCCCCAACCCTTCTCTCTTCTCTCTACTGTACACCTCCCCTTCCTATGCAAATGTAATCACCGCCCCCCTATAAAAACACCTATTCTGCCATCCTCCCAACCAGGGGTCTACATTCACTGAAGAGACACACTCCAGGATTAGTTCTCTTCATCTCCTGTGACAGGATGACTGTAGTGCTCTGCCCTCATTTTATCCTTGGAAAGTTCTTAAATACAGCCCCCCTACTCTTTCTCCTTTTGCTTGTTGGGCCTAGCAGCACATTAGCGCTTGGTCCTGGCAGAGTAAGAGCAGGGCAAGGGGGGCGTCCGAGGGCTGAGGGTAGGGTGAGATCTGGAGTAAAAGACAATGGCAGGTCCCGGGCAAGTGTTGATGGCTACACCGACATGAAAATTGGAGATACACATGATTCTAAGGCAGGAGCTGCACCAGTAGAGGATGATGACGCATGGGGGGACCCTGGTACTACCACAGGCTTCAGGTCCATGCTTGCTATAGGAGAAGGTGGACTGTGGGAGCCTCGCAGTTCCTCCCGCTGTGTACCTATCCCGCCGGGAATGGCTTTGTGCCAAAACATCGGTTATGATACCATGAGGATGCCCAACTTGCTGGGCCATGAGTCTCCTGCTGAAGCCGTGCAGCAGAGTGCCAGCTGGTTGCCTCTACTCGCAAGAGAGTGTCACCCTGATGCCCGCATCTTTCTCTGCTCTCTCTTTGCACCAATTTGCCTTGACAGGTAAGTAAAAAGAAAATCAAATCTTATTTCTTCAAGCAAATATTCACAACTATTTTAAAGGGTTTTTTTTGCAGAAGGGCTGAGATAGTAGAAAAGCTTTATCAGAAAGAGGAAAGATTTATGATTAGGTTATTCAGGATCCGGGTCATACAGGGTTAACACCTTTTGAATGCAAATTGTGGCAAGTCTCTGAGTAAGGCCGTGATTGCACACTGAAACCTCCCATTTGAAGCTCTATTATCTACTTTCTGTCACATTAGCATCACTCAGTCTACAAGCAGACCAAGGAGCAACCCAAAACAAATCCAGTCTTGTTACGTGGCACTGAACGATCAATTCAAATCCTTTTATTTACTAAATACTACTCTCTCCAACTCTTCTTTATCAGGTTTATATCCCCCTGTAAAAGTTTGTGTGAATCCGTACGGGACAGCTGTGCACCCATCATGAGCTGTTACGGCTACCCCTGGCCAGAAATTCTGCGCTGTGACCAGTATCCTGCAGACCATCTCTTGTGTATCTCCTCTATCACTAACAGCACAGCTCAGACAGTGGGCCGTGTAGGTAAGAAACTTCAACATAAACGCACTTTATGTTAACCTTATTAAACAAACAATCTAATAAATTGTTTTGAAAATTCCAGTGCCTCAAGCAAGCTGTCGTGATTGTGAGCTGCAGGACGCCTCCTCTTCAAAAGATACACTGGAGACCTTTTGTAGGAGTGACTTTGGTGAGTAACAAAATCCTTCCACCCCTTCTCTTCTGTCTGCTGCTTCCTTTAATAAAGCTCACGGCATTCATGGCTAATGTTAATCTTCTTTTTTTTCCCCAGTTGTGAAATTGCGTCTCACACGCCTCAAGTACAGTCCAGTAAGTCTGTCTCAGTTCTCGCTGGCTGCCAAACTGGATGTCTTGAAGCACGGACCACTGTTAGGTGGGCAGATCCGTTCCCGCATTGAGCTGTGGCTAGAGAGAGATGCCACCTGCGTCAGAAACATGACAAGGCACAACCCACGAGGCGGGACTTTCCTTGTGACAGGCTTGGTGCAGGGGGAGCGCCTGGTGGTGAATAAAGTTTACGCGTGGCATAGACGAGACAAGAACCTGATGGCAGCTGCGCGCAAATGGAAACATTACAGATGCAGGAACTAGGCTCATGTGTTATGTTAGAAGAGACAAAAGAACTGAGATGTAACAAGAACAGCTACTCATAGGGGAAGGATAGACATAGTATTTAGAATGTTTCTAAATACCTCTTCCTGTAAGCTAACCTCGGTCTACTCCGATCCTGTCTAAACGTCAGTGGTTATAGAAGGGATACAAGCAGTCAGCTGTTTAAAAAGTGCCTCATAGAGCACCAACACTGCATGTCGCAGACAGAGGATGTGGAAGAATTAAAGACGTGTAATAGAGAGTGTAAATATCTGTGTATTTTAAGTAAATATTGCTGGTTTATATATTTGTATGGCTTTGAGAAAAAATTAAATGTTTTGTTCCAAAACCTGACGTCATACAATTTATTCATGAATAGCAGCACACACAGACTGCAGTTCACTTACCAAATAGCAGAGGTTTCAGGCTGATCGTCTTCATCTCGTGCATCCTGTCTGGCACAAGGGACACCTGCTGAACGTGACCCACCTGCAGATGGGTGAGACACAAGTTTCAGCACACTCGTGTTATGTGGGGTCAAATGCATTGATACTGCTTATGCAAATCTAAGTATCGTTCGATTCCATTCTGATTGTTTACAATATTTAGGTTTGGCTGCTGCATTTGAATTACAGTACAGCAAATCGCCTGCTTAGAGCCAGCAAATGTAAGCTTAGGTTAAGAGGCCCAGAATTTGTTTTCCTTCTTTGTCTTGATAGTTGTTTTTCTTGAGCAAAAACAAAAGCACCATGACAGTAAGTGACACTGTTTTTTTTTTTTTAACAAGTTCAACAAGTTATTTTGACGTTAGTTTGGCATATTTTGCTGTTCTATAAGTGTGCACATTCAAGTGATAGAAATTACGAAAGTGCTCTTCTTACCCGTATCCCCTCAATTCGAGGTAGACTGAAACTCTGACTGTGGTCTTCCACATGAAGCTCTTCAGAGACAGGGGTAGGACTGGGCAAGGGTGTCCCACCCTGGCTGACCGACGCTGCTGAGGTGTCACCGTCTGCACTGACAAGTTCACCTGGGCCGTTGTTGTAGTGCACGTAAAGCAGCAGACCGATAACATTCAGGATGTACACATGGAAGAAGACCATGACCACAACGAAATAAGCCCGAGAACAGACATTACTTCTCTGGATTTGCATCCGAGCGGTGCGAAAGGGAGGTCTGTAACGTGTTGATAATGGTTTGTCGCCGTCTTCATATTCTTCCTGCTCTATTATACTTTCCTGTTCGTCTTCCATTCTCGCACCGAATCAACCACGAAGAATACGGGGGTGTATATATGTCTATTTACAAGGCAATGTTGCCGCCAATGTTTATTACTTGATATCGTTTTATCTTGGATGCGGGGCGTTAGCAACTTAGCTTTACTGTTAGCCAGCTACGGGGCAAACCCGACAGAAAACCTCTTGTCGGTTTCGATGATTGATGCTGTCGCGTCTGCCGCTTGTACCCAAATGAGCAGGGCAGCCCCGAGCGGAAAAAGTAGACGTGTCGGCAGTCGTTTACTCGGGAGAAATAAATATGTCATCATTCACCGAATTCCCTTAATCCTGTGTTAGCTAACTGGTTGGTGCGCTGCCCCTGACAACCTACCTAACAACAACGAGAGCAGACGACTGCACAGGGGGTCACCAGTTCTGATGCCACAGTAAACCACTAGCGGCCTCTAGCGGACAAGACCAGCTGCAAAACACAGATGACGTCAAAACTACTTGCCGTTTCTAGTACAGCAAGGATGTGATACCGTAGACAGTGTAACGGATATGCGTATTTGTAGCATTTAATATAGGCTGTTTGATGGAGGCTATCCAGATGTTTCTTGACCCCGTGACCTCAGAGGCACTGACTTATTTTGGGTAGTCAAGCGTTAAGTTTATGAAGGGGTTCGTCATTTACAATTAGGCTACCACTAGTAGGCCTATATATCTTACAGACCTACCAATCACATCACTAAAGTGTGATACAAATGCAATACAGAGCATGCATACTTTAGGCCCTATTTGCTCTTCGAAAAGTGATGTAGCCTAACTCTAAAGGACTGTGTCATTCAAAAGCGCAATGTCACTACAAAGTTAGTCTGGAAAAACAAACTATTTTATTTAGGCCTAACTATTTATATTGCGACTTTCCCACATACTCTCTGATTGTTAATAGGCCTCTTTCCATTTCATTTACCCATAATGTGGTTTTGAAGCCACACTCCAGTAAACCGTGTAAATAGTAGACAAAGATTAATAGCCTGTTAATTAGCCTATTATACTATTATGGGTCAGTATTCAAAAATAGCCTTTTGGACCTACAGACTACACATTTCAGGACACTTCTCCTATCTTTTAAATGCCCTCCCTCCACCATCAGTTAATAACAAACACATTCATTAAAAAAAAAAAAAAAAAGTAAAGCCTTCAGCCTAAACTGAGATAACCGTACTGATAATCATCCTCCAGCTCCCCCTAAAACTATAGAGTATATTTTTCCTGGCTAAAAACCTTACATTTCTGTTTAATCCATTACTTCGATTTTAATTAAACAGAATATATTTGGTCTAAAGTAACAATAGATGAATCTGCTGTCAAAACCCATATGTGTCATCATGAAATTATCTTCACTTCACCCACTATTAGATAATAACTGGACTTATTCAAGAAACAGGCTACGCTCCATATTACAAACAATAGCATTTTCACTCTCGACAACATTGAACATATAGGCTAATGTCTTCGAGATTCAAAAAGGGCGTCTGCTGATTGTTTTATTCCACACAGGGTACAATTATTGCACAGGACTAGTTTAAACTCCCCCCATGGCCTGTGGATGAAAACGTGCTGCTGTTCTCAAAATTGACCACACGGTGGCGATTAAGTCCATGAACTGCTGCACACGTGCCCATCAACTGTATTTGCTGTGTCATCTGTTATGTCTGACGTAATTATTCGAAGTTCAGGTGATACCCGGGCAGAAAAGGTAAAAACGTGTATTATTGTATTCTAAAAAAAATAATAGCAAAACAGAATAACAGCAGGTTAAGCGAAAACATTGGCACCAGGTTCTTTACAGTAGTGTTCCAGTTACAGATAAGGCTTTATCAAGGGAATTTAGCTTTTCAATACACATCTGGTGCCGTTTAAGAGACTGCAGTTGAATGTACCCGGTGATCTACTTGAGCCGATTTATCATGCTTTAAACACAATTGCCACATCAAAAATAAACCTAAAGCATCACATGAAAATGCAGCCTATTTCCGTGCTGCGAGCTAAACTTGACAAATATCATGGGACACAATATTTTTCTCTCATGTTGATGCCAACTAACCAGTGGTGTATGAAACGGCTGGATTTACATAATTTTCAGTCGATGCATTATTCACAAGGAATTTCTCTGAGGTGCATATTTAGACGGCGATGGCTAGGATAATGAAGGTTAATTTCCCCAATGACATTGCCCAAGTGAATCCATAAGAATTCATATGACCCCCTTTTCCTGTAGCCTGCAGACAGTGAGAAGGGCAGGGGGGGGGGGGTTAGAGAGTCTGATCGAGTCTGATACAAAAACGCATTTACATCTTTTCTCCTCAACACAGACACACATGCACTCACTCACTCACACACCCCTTGTGGTGTTTTCCGGGATCACGCCACTGCTTCCACTTGGGATCCACACAGCAGCAGCGATATGGCTGATCATCGCCGGACGGGACAGTTGTGTTTATAAGCGAAAGTAAGAGAGGGGGGGAGTAATGCGTTATTACGGGCCAAAAATGCTTTTACTCGGGGGACGGGGCACTGCGACACAAAGTGTTACGCAGGGTTAAGTCTTACCTGAAGGGGAAAGAGGAAATCTGGTGTGTTTGAGGGCAAAGTAGTTGGAGGAACTTGTCGCAGTGGATTGAGCTCAGCGTGCCGCCTGGATTACCACACGCAAGTGGAACAATAGTCTCCTGCAGCAACAACACTCGCAGGTCAGTGGCGGTAGTGTATTTGTTTATGTTCAGCCTGTTTTCACTCCACGTTTTTGACTCTGTAGTAAAACAAATATTGGAACATTTCAGAATTCAATGTCCATGGTTTTCCTATCACCTGACATTGCAGGTGGACCTTTTTTTTTTTTTCGACTCGCTAAAACAAAGGTATTTCAGAGTCTTTTTTTACTTTGTCACACTGCACTAATGTGGATAAATGTAGCACAGCCTACTCGGGGAAAAAAAATAAATAAATCCTGAATCGCATCGGGAAAATGTAGGAAACAATGGCAGATAATGGACCTATTTATAAATCATTAGAGCGGTATGAATGGCACATGAGTTGTTTTCTGGTCTTAACATATCGGGAACACACTCGTAAAGTAGGGAGACCCTCGGAGATGATTCCAGAGCAATTCCATGGAGTTTCTGTGCCGGCCCGGGAGGCTGTATAACTTTTTTCTGCCCTGCCTTACCCTCCTCCCCCCCCGGATACTTTGCGCCAGGAAAACACGGGGAGAAAGAGACGGACCGAAAAGGCAAAAGGCCTGGAAGGCAGAGGGACCTCTCTGCCAGCAAGGCCCGACATGAACCGCGGCGCATTTGCTCTTGGGAGTCCCGTGATGTTTTTTTTTTTTGGACGGCTGAATGCTGCCCACTTCTGTGCGCCCTCTCCTGCAGCCATGTCTAGTTACACAGGGACTCGTCGGGACCTTCACCCGACCGCAAATGTCCAGTCCTACGGTCCTGCAGTCTTGCCTCGTCGTTAACCTCGTGGGTGTTCAACGGTGGCAAAGGAGCACGTTAACTGCAACATAGGTTGAACAATTAATGGCAAAACTGCTCCAAACACTTAATTTCTTAGCAGCATGTAGAGAGAACCATTTTGAGCTGAATTATTGATGCCCATCTCAGTGTGGGATGTCCAGATTGGAAATAGCGCGCATCAGTCAATACTGTGTAATGCACTTAGATTTCAAATCATACTAACAACCACAGACCAATATTACTCCGTTGTTACTATTTTATAACATTATATAGATGACTAAAATGTGATTCTAATTTAATGCCATAATGACACTTGGACCGTCTTGCGATTACATTTTTCATTCTTAATTGAGTTTTGCATTGTTGTTTTTTAGGGCAACATACATGCACAGTGAAATTTCATTTAGTTGTAAACCGAATGCACCTACATGTGACCCCTGCTGTCACCCAGCTGAACACTATTCTGTATTCAATTAGTAATGTTTTTAACCAAGCACATATGTGAACTTTATCAGGGGTGTCATGGAAACAATAACGATAACACTGTATGATAACAACTATAGCCGTACTTTGCTTTTTGTTCTTTGTTTGGCCAGTTACACACTGTTCCATGCAGCAAGCATAAACCTTATGCATTAACCATATCACGATATGTTGACATTATCTTTCGACATATCCTTCCAAAGCTAATTCTTCTACATGTAAACATTATGTCTGATTTGATAACTAACAGTGATGCACAGGTCACTGAGGATATTCTGCGTTTTCTCCGATTACATTTTTGTAATATCGAAATTGGAAAATATTGCTTTCAAGATTTTAATGTTGATTCAACCACATTTCCAACGTCTAAATCCTATTATACAAATAGGACCCTTTCTGTGACCCCTGTGAGCCATATTTACTTCTAACAAGAATTCATCTTGTTCCGTAATTCACTCTCCTAACCTAATTGGGAGATTTATGTGAAGTGATGTAGTAAAAGCGAGACGGAGCCATTGGTTTTATATGAGGAGTTGACTCATTTTTTGGGTTATCTGTGGGTTTATGTTTGTTCATTTGTATATTTGTGGGCATGTGTGTAGGTTTTCTGTAGTTGGGCAGATTTGTGCATTACTCATGCTTCCTCAGGCCGCTGCGCCAATCCTTGTTCGAAGTGCCACTGAGTGCCAATTCCACTCTGCCACATTCTATGTGAGTGCATGCATGCGTGTGATTCATATGCCAGTGAGCTGCAGAAGAATGCCTTTTTGTTTGTGACAAAATAAAGAAGACAAAGACGAACATAGCGGATAATGACAGTGTATTTCATCCCAACCTCACAGTTAGTTGAAATCTTCCTTTCCCTTCCCTTTCTGTTTTGACAAACATTTGTTTGTCAAACCTGGACCCAACTTGTAACAGTGTGTTTAGCATACTCAGGTCCTCTGGTCCATTCATTCTTTAGCACAGGCAGGGGAATCCCATTGCAAGACTGGCAAGGCTCACATATTGCAGCAGTCTGGGCATCCCAAACACTGGAGGGCTGAAAGTTTATGTAGCTGATCTGAGCACATATATCTGAATGTGTGTGTGCTTCAGTGAGAAATGTAGAGAGAGGGGAGATAGAGAGAGTTGAATTTTCAGCTTTTAGCTTCTCTGTATCTTGTTTCTTCTCTTCACCTCAGAGACAAAACAGCGGTTCCAGAGTGGGCTTGTAACCAGGCAACCCAAATGGTGTGTGTCTTGAATAAATCAAAACATGAACACCTCACCTCAATGCAACAAACCAGCACACATGATCACAGGATGCTTACCCTGTTAAACTGTAAAACACTGTAGAAGTACTGTAGAAGTGTGTTTGTAGGAGTGAGAGCTGCCTCTATCATCTGGAGTGTGTCTCTCCATCCAGTGG